AAAAAAAAAAAAAGAAAGAAAAAGAAGATGAACCTAGGAAGTTGTCTTTAAAGTGTCAAAATACATCATTAAAATGGGCTTGTAAATGTTTTACACCAATGCACTTTTTTTGTCTCTCATATTTACCACTTGTGCTAAAAACAAAGATTGTTGTAGGTGTTGCCGAGGTGGTTGTATGAGGGCAAGTCGGATCCATGATTCTGGTAATATTTCCTCCTTCTCCACAAACAGCTCTGATACAGGTTCCATTTCCATCATTTGTGTCATAGATTGTATCTCCATATTTGTATATACGTCCATGATATGAACACTCGCAAGCTGCAAAATAAATAATTATATAATATTTATATGAATTTTACTGTTTCGGTATATTAATAGTATTGCCTTTCTAATAAGTCTGTATGTTATGATCAATCACAGAAATGGTCATAGCCACGCTCACCTTTGACGCTATCACTGCACTCACGCTTTGTTGATGAACAGTGACTAAAAAATAAATGAAAAAGCAAAGATTAAACAATGTATGAACATATAAGGTAATATTCTGGTGTTGGGGCAATTTGAATTACAATACAGGCATATGGAATGCTCTGATGACCAACATGATGCGATAGAGATTTTTACAGTTAATCTTATGGTGATGTTCCCAGAAAAAAAGACTGGCATTTTAAGAGTCCTAATTTGTTTGTGGGTAATTACCAAGATCACATTTATGTTGTAATGTGAAGGTTAAGCAACTCTTCAACTTGCTTTCCCAGATTGTCAACAATTATTTCTCTATGTGAAGCAGAAGATTCTAACAGGATTAGACTGATTTTAGATACCTAAAAAAAATGTAAGCATACTATGGTCGTTCAGTGTTATTTAATTGCATATGATTACTGTATGGATTGTTAATATAGATAAAATTGTGCAGTATTATGTACAAAACACATGAAGACAGCATTACAATTAATATGTCCAGACACATGAATTCATCCTAAAATTAATTATCTATCCATCTAACCATTAACTTTGCCTGCTTATCCTTTTTAAGGGTTTCTGGGGGCCTGGAGCTTACATGAAGCTCTGCAGGTCCTAGACAACAGTATGATTCCTCTGAGGCAAACTCTCTACAGGGTTCCAAAACTGTAACAAACATTCCCAAACATGATGGGGCGAGCCCTGTGTATAAAGGGGATGAAAGTAATGAATGTGATTAGCCATGATTGACAAAGCGTCTACCACCTATACTGTATTCTTTGTGATTCCATTTTGATTTGAGATAAGTTTTAAATTATTAAATATTAAGATGTGGTTATCTTTTGTTATAAGCTTTGCCAAACAATATAACAGTGTTACAGATCTCTGATTTGCTGCTACCTCAGTCCCCTAAAATTACTGTTTGTAACTTGATTGTATATTTATTATTGTAAATCACTATCCACCTTTTGACTTTATTCCAAAATGAGGCAACAGGACAATAACACATTAGATGCAGGACTGAGTCCTCATCATCAAAACCTACACAAACAACTTTGTTCTAGGCCCCAAATAGATAGCATGTTTTTAGTGGGTAAAAAACTATATAAGAACTGTAGTTGTATTATATGTATAGACACATCTTGGGTAGTGTTATAGATAATATTAAACACATTTTTTATGGAATTATTTTATTAATAGAGTCTTCCCACGTATTTAAGGTATTAATTGGATTATCATGATGTTAGTTCTAAATATAACTAAGTTATATTTATATATATTTCTATAAATTTTATCTCCATTCATCCATGACTGGTCTCTAGTTTACGGGCAGCATACTAATTGCTGTCTTGGTTTTTTAGCTATATCCTTTTTCCAAACATTAGATATTGATACAATAATTTTTTATATTCTAGTGGTGTACAAACTGGACCATATACTTTTTGGAAGGTCATAATCTTACTATTACTATCATCATTTACAAATATGATATTTTTATTTGAAAATTATTTATTTATATTGAGGTGATCCTCTATCAACAAGGCCCTATTTCAGAGAGCAGGCTCATACTCTGAGCCTAATCTAGATCTCCAAGTTGACTGAGCCTGAGCTGGGAAACTCTTGAGTTTTCGGTTCCAGAACAGCTGATCAGAAGTATCTCAATCAACTCTGAGTATATTCAGCCTGAGGGAAGTGCATTCACAGTGAGCACCGAAAGCCATCATCAATGGAGTGCAGATGACATGATTTTCAGTGGCAGAAAGTGGAGATAAAAGCAGATCCACTTATTTCATTCCAATTTAATGACCACGAATGAGGACAACGTGAGGTGGGATAAGACTTCAGAACATGTTAATAGGTAATGTGAAGTGATGTTATGTAACCTGATGAGTTATTGCATGTCAAATATACAGAAAATATAGAAACATTTTTATATCTTAACAATGTTCACATATTTTAATATAATTTATTTGCTATATCTTCTTATTCAGCTGTAATCTGATGGAGCCCAAACACACTTGGCAGCAACTCCAAATCAAACACCAAAATATTGTACAGACTAGTAAAAATTTTGCTTATACTTACAGTGGTGGAAAAAAGTTTTCGGACACCCTTAAAATTTTACACAATCTCAAATATTATCAAGAAATATTTGTGGAAAAATCTTTTTTGTGTTTCAAAAGGTGTGGCTGCATTAGACAGATATAAACAAATACAAATTATATTTTTTGTTTATTGTTTACAAGAAAAACTAACAAAACTAAATTCTTGACAGTTTCAATATGTCAGTTCTCAACATTGTCGGTATCAAAGTCAACAAATAACAGAGAATGTGTTCAAAACTGAACAAAAAATAAATAAACCATCACATCATCAAATTAATATTTAGTAGTCCTGCCATTGGCACGTAGTAGAGCTCTAATCCTGGCTGGCATGTTCCCCACAAGCTTTTCACACTGTTGAGGGGTAATCTTGTCCCATTCTTCTTGAATTACTGCTTTTAATTCTTCTAAATTCTTTGGTTTATGCTTTGAAACAGACCTTTTGATAATCCACCACAGATTTTCAATGGGGTTCATGTCCGGGGATTGAGCTGGCCACTCTAAGACCTGGATACTGTGCTCCTGCAGCCAAGTTCTACTGGCCTTGGATGTGTGGCAAGGGGCATTATCTTGTTGAAACATCCAGTTTTTACCTCGACGGAACAGTGCACGCGCAGAAGGGAGCATGTGGGTTTCGAGAATGGTACAATACTTGGTAGAGTTCAATGTGCCATCACAGACAGTGAGATGACCAACACCAGCAGCACTCATGCATCCCCAAACCATGATACTGCCTCCACCATGCTTGACAGTAGGTACTGTACATGCTGGAGATAATGCTTTGCCTGGCCTTCTGCGTACCCTCACATTAGTAGGAGGAAGATAAAGCTGGAAACTGGACTCATCTGACCACAAAATCTTCTTCCAATTCCTGGCTGTCCAGTTCTTGTGTGCCTGGGCCCAACGATGCCGGGCTAACCTCTGTCTCTCATTGATCAGGGGCTTCTTGATAGCCCTGTAGGACCTTAAGCCATGATCTAAAAGTCGGCCACGTACAGTGCGGGTGGAACACTGGACACCAGTTTGGTTTGACCACTGCTGCTGAAGCTCCTGTGATGTCATTTGGCGGTTTTGCCTGCACATGCGGATCAGGATGCGGCCATTTCTTGCTGAAGAAACCCTTGGACGCCCAGATCTCGGTTTGTCTTCCAAGCTGCTGGTTCGTCTGTATTTCTGCAGAGTGTATCCAACTGCTGAAGGACTGCATCTGCACTTCCTGGCTATCTGGTGGCAGCTGTACCCTTCCTGGCTGAGAATTTTTATCTTCAGGCGTGTTTCCTGCGTTAGGTTCCTTGTTTTAGCCATTTTTGTGTCTGAAGAACTTTCAAATGTGCTGGCTTTATGTAGACACGAAGCTTGGCAACAAAAATTGTGTCTTTTAATAAAAAGAACAACCTTCATCACTGGTACCAAAATGACCCAATACTCAAAATTTCTTATGTATTTTTATGGAACCAATCAATTTTAAGTTTTTAATGGCTTTTTTAGGATTTATTTAGTATTTTGGCCGTGACTGTACTAAAATAAATTGCACTTGAAGACCTAAGAGTGATTCTTAATGCAATATTTCACAAATGCATGGGGTGTCCGAAAACTTTTTTTCCACCACTGTATGTCATTCTTGCAATATTAGGCTGAGGTTAACTGAACTGCTGAATTGCTGTGAAATGATGTCCTATTCATGTGATCTCCTTTATTCTCAGATGGAACTATGATGGGGATGTGAGTCCCATAAATGAGTCTATTACACCGCGGAATCTTTAAATGCATGAAAAATATTCATAAATCATTGCACAATGTATCCACGTATATTAATTTCTTACAACCCTGCAGTTCTGTGGAATTCCCCTTTGATGATCCTTTTTGATTTATGCCCAGGGAAAACAACAGAAATGGGCAAAAGTCTTTTCAGAGCCAGAGTCACTTTTCTTACGGCCCGACAAACTGTTGCCTTGCTGATGTGTTTCAGTGTCTCTGATTTCATAAAGAAAACTGCTGCTGGGCAATGCATAAAATTTGCTCCGATGATAATGTAGATGTGTGATGTTTGATACATCTGGGTGGAACAGATTGTTAGATAAATGATACAGTGCGAGGTGAAACATTGTCTTTCATAAAGACATTCCTCCAGGAACGGTAAGATGTCCAAGCAGGGTCTAATCACCACTTCCTTAGGCAACAGCCCCTGAATAAATTGAACCCCAACGTCCACAATTTTATTCACAAAAGGAAACGTCATGTTTCTCCTTCCTGCTACACTCTCAGCAGGCGATCAGCCTCAGGCTTAGATGAAACAAACCTGTCAGCGAGCAGGTTTGCTTCACAGAGTATGTTGCCATAGTAACCGACTCAGTTTTACGCTGAACTGGCTTCATGAAACGGAAAAGTCAGAGTGTCCCTCATCTCAGGCATAACATACTCAGAGTTTTCACCAATCCTGCTTTCTGAAGTAGGGCCCAGATTACTACTGAACCATAATATTTGTTGCAACATGTTATCTAGTTTATCTGGTGGGTGATATTGACACCACAGCCATTTTGCAGCAGCGTCTTTTTTGTCCATTCGAGCTGACATCAAGGAAAATAAATCATTTTCTAGCTGGATGAAATGAATGACTTTTAACTATAAATATGGAAAGAGCTCTTTTTCAAATATAGGGTGGAAGTTTCTGAGTAATCTTGCTGGGAACCAGTGTTGGTTATGGAATAATTTCGGTATGATGGATGCTTTAAGGGAATTTATTTCTTTAAGGTTTAAACGTCAGTTAGTTATTAGTATACATAATTTCATTATGCCAGCTACTGTAAAAAGTATATAAAGGTTTCATCAACTTTTGCACCAACTGCAGCGTTAATAAGAAGGAATGAGACCCACCAAATTTGACAGTTTTCCTTTCGAGGCATGCGCTCCCCTTCTTCATAATGCGTTCCTTCGAGATAGCAGCCACATTCTTTCTCTGACACACACTTCATGGTAATTTCTTCCAAATAAGATTTTTCGGGCGGGCAGCTTGGATAGCAGCCTTAAAAAATTAAATGTTACCGTAAATTGCAAACCTAGCACAGAACAGGTGAGGACTGGAAGTCTAGCCAAAACAATGTGAAAATCTCAGAGTACTGAAAGTAAATGAAAAGTCAGTTGTGCTTAACCAATGGGCTTTACAAAAAACATATGCATGGTCAACTCTTTAATTATAACCTTTAAAATTATACAATATTTCTTTTACGTCATTAGTACCTTCTAATGCTGGAATGTGATTGTAGCATACTCCTGAGGGATTCCTACATGTCTTCATGCATGGTTTTCCACAAGGCTCGTAGTGCCATTCACACTCTCCATCAGGGTTGTAAAAATCACAGAATAGAGCTAATGAAAGAAAAGAAAACAATGATAAGAAGATACAAGAAAAGATAACTCACTCATGCATAAACTTTTCATGATAAAATGCAAGTCAAGCTTATCTGCAAATTCTACAATTAAATCACAAAAGGGATGCTGACAGATAACATACTTTTGTTTATTTCCTCACAGAAACACAAATAAAACACTCACGGCAGATTGTGGGAGTTCTCCATCTTACACAGGCTCCAGCTTCATTGCAAGCTGCTGCGTAAGCTGCTACAGAGGAGCAGAAACATTCACAATCTCCCCCTGTGTTGCAGGAACATGTGTCTCTCACACAGGCATCATAATAATGTCTTGGGTCCACCTTTTTGGAAAAAAACAAACAAAAAAACATTGTGAATGTCAGTTGAGGCTGACTTATATTCTGCTAACTTATACAGAATGTGATTGGATAGTCAGTTGCTTGGCGCAATTCTTACCTTTGAATGGCAACTGGCAAACACTTCACTGTTGATAATACTGCAGTGTTTTAATGCCCATGCCTGTCTGTGTGAGTATAGACTGCAGGGATTTCTATGTGTGTTTGCATTAGGGCAGGTAGGTGAGTCTTTCCAGCTGTTTCCAAACTCAAGGGCTTCAACCACAATCTGTTTGTCTCTGGTGGTGAAATCATTTTTTACATTCCCATCATAATTACCACAAAGACCACAGACTTTTCCCTGAGAAAAAATGAAAGTGAGTTCATTTGTAAATTGGCAACGTTATTAACATTCATCTGAATGCCTATATATCTCCTCACCCACCTTGAATGTGGGCTTGAGTCTGATCATGAGTGTCGTCTTCTTATTCCAAATGAGAACAAGTCCATTCTTTGCCTCAATGACAAGATATATGCCCATTGTCTGGATGTGATGGGGTATGTCCTCCCCTTTGTTTTGCTTGATAACTCTGACATGTTCCTCTGACAGAACAATTTCATTGTTCTGAAAGAAACGAAACATGCTCATATCTAATTCTGCTAAGCAATTTTTTTTTAGCATTTTTAAAAGACATTTAAATGCATATAATAGTGTTATGTACCCCTAAGTAGAGTTTGATAGCAGTGGAGCAGATGCTTTCACTTGTTCCACATGGGATGCTCTCAGTCAGGACCCTGAAGGTGCCATTCATATCGTCCCCACAGTAATCCTGCAAGATATTGATGTCATTATTACAAGACTGACCTCTGACAAATCACAAACAAAGACTAAATGTACATCCGTGCAATACCTGAGTGAAGACGTAGCCACAGTCCCCGTGAAAGGAGAATTTCTTTTTATCAAAGGTGATGTAATGCCCTTCTCCATATATGGTACAGGTCCCATCACACTCATTTTCTGTACAATTCCATTTTCCGCTTTTGCAAGTGCTATGATTTAAACAGATAAAGTAATGTCAAGGTATATACCTGCTGATTTACAGACACAGCTCTACTCAAGCGTGGAAGGAATTAAATGGCTCACCAGGTATTGCAGTCCACAGTGACAGTCTGTCCAGAATTATAGGATTCTCCGTTGAATGGGCAGGGACAGTTCTCCTCCGTAACACAGCCTCCTTTACCATCAGACAGCAGGCCAGCAGGGCATACACAGCCTGGCATACACTGTGTACTGACCTATACAGTGTAACAACAATGTATTTTAAGTTTTTTTACTGCTGGACAGATAATCTGTTCATAAAGCTGGGCTGTCTATGCAGCAAAGAGACAAAATATTTTTGAAATTGGTGCTACATGACCAGAGAAAACAGAGAAAAAAGCGCTGTGGCATTTGGTTTTGCTCGAGCCAGAATTAACTACACCACACTTCACCAATAAATGCTTCCACTGGTAGGTGACAAAATGTGAGCTTGTTTGTTTTGACACAGGGAACAATATGACGGCTAACGGCTTGCTGTTTGATCTCATTTTTTTCAGCCTTCATTTTTACAATACAGGAAACAGCATACAGCCCACTTCCGGTTAACAAATTCACATGTTACAGCCAAAATAGCTAAACAAAGCTACAGCTAAAATATTTTTCTGAAAATGTGAGAAATAGGCAATACAGTAACAAAATCTTGGTTCATATTTGATAAGCGCTGCCTAGTTTTACAGTTTGATCAATGGTTGGTTGGAGTTTGAGAGAGAGAGGTGTGGTCATCTCTCTCAACCTGCTTCTGTACTCTTTTTGTCTGTGGTGGTAGGCCTATGAAAATGTGGAGGGACAATCTGTAGTTTGAGCAAGAGCCCTAGAGCCAGCAAATATCTGCTGGGTGACGCATTTCGAGCTAGGAGATCTGGGTGCTGACGCGGGGAGGGAAGTTTACCATTGTTTATTGCACACTACACAAACTTTTATGACACAAAGCTGGTTGAAAATCTGCAAAGTATCCCTTTAACATGTCATCTGCTGCTTTAGTATACATGTTTACAGAATTAAACAACAGTCATGAATCAGTGGCTCAATCTTACACATTCTGTGCCCAGTGTCTGGCAGCTTTTTTGGCACTCAGATCCCTTGTCACCTGGTTTTGCGTTTGAGCAGCTGATGAAAACCATTGGCTCTGTGCATGCTGATGACAATGAAAAAGTGTTATGAAGGACACTGCTGTATGCTTCATGTTGCTCATACTGTATTTTGCAACAGAAGAAATACTACGATGAGTTGAGTGCTTTGTACCTACATTCACTTATGTGGTCTCCTGTGCATGTTAATTTTCCACTATGGCAGGAGCTGAAACACATACAAAGACAAGGGAGGTTAATTATTGCTAGTTTTTGCTCAATTTCTTGAAAATAAAAACAAAATTGATTAATTAATACAGTTAAGAAGCACTGCCACAAGAAGTACAATTATAGCTCTACAGACACTCCTCTTTTTCTATTAACCTCATACAGAGGCTGCATCATTTTGTATGTGGCGCACATCATTCGCCACCAGAGGTCAGCCTGGTGCAACGGGCAACTCAGCTGACAAACATGACAACATTCTTATTGGTAGTTGTAGTCTATTTTGTGACACGGAGACAGCGCCTGGATGCAGGTGACAGATCTGTTTAAAAAAATGCAGCGACAATTTCATATACAAGACAATTATAACACGGACAAAGTGACTCTCGCCCCTTCCCTCCCTCTGCCTCTCTGTTGATGCTATGTGCATAAACAAGATTAATAGCCTGAATAAATAAAAGACTTACATCACTTTCCAGCACTAGATTTATTGAAAGACAATGGAAAACGACTTTTTAACTCCCCCACAAAGATTTGTCATTGTTCCAAACTACAATGGATTTAGGCCTACTTGATACTTTTATATTCGTGTTATAGTTTTGTGTCCAAAAACGTTAACATACAGCCCTGCTATTCATTTTATATAATTTTTCATTTGCATGTTGAGCAGTTGTTTATTTTCAAACAGGGCAAACTCCTTCTATTTGCATTTTATTTTGATTACAGTCTGTTTTGATAAAAGTGCTTGTGACATCTCAAATGTGGCTTTGACTTGCAACTGAAAACATGCAGCCCATTTCAAAGGAAATACCGAGATATGTATTGCATATCGCCATTCAGCCTGTAAATACCGAGATACGAATTTTTGTCCATATCACCCAGCCTTACTGGTGATTGAAAGGCGGTTTTGGTGGGTTTTATTTGCTTCTGTTGAGTTTGAATGAAGCATGTTTCACTATGAATTAACAAGGCAATTAAGCTAGTCTTGTTTTGGTAAAAGAGGTTAACTTGATTTCAGGAGGTGTATGGTTGTGTTTCTCTGTTTAATTGCTTAATATGGAAAACAGGTATCAGAACATTACATTTCTTGATGCTTTGTGAGTGTATTTACTTTATTTATTAGGCTGAAAAAGCCAGGAGAGCTTGTGGAACATAGGGAAGTTGCCAGTGGGGGGTGCAGCGCCACACATAATACCATCATATACTGTATACCTGAGTGAAATTTCAGGAAAGTATGAAGGTATGAGAAAATAGATACTGCCCAAGCCTAAACCACAACATCCCTAGATCGCCTCCTGCCGCACACCTTTGATGCATTTCATTCCCCCACTTTCTGTCTTCTCACCTTTCTCTTAAAGTAACCTAAAAATAACCATAAAAACATTATTCTGTTTTAATTTTACGACAAATATTGAAATCCTCACCAAGTTTGCCCAAGGTGTCTGATGACCTGCCCAGGGCGTACCACCATGTCTCCCACATGACAGTGGCAATGTGAGGCTGGCACACAGTCTCCCTTCTCATTTAGGTAAGTTCCCTCACCACAGCCGCAGCCATCAAGCGGGGTAAACTCAACCTCGCATGTTGAGTCCCACTGACTGAGAGATTTGCAGGTGCGATCACAGCTTGTCATTTGGTAGCCATACACGAAAGTAGGGGGGCAGCCAGTTGTGAATATCTCTTTTGAAAGGAAACAAGTTCACTTAAATATTAGAAATACTATAAATATAGACTTCATTATTACACGCTTGATAATTTGGGTTGAACTTACGGCATTCAGTGCTCCTCCATCCGTTCAGTAAGACACCTTCAGCTGCACATGCATGGACGTAGGAGGATATGGCAGCACACATGCACTTGACACTGTTTTCGCAGGCGCAAGTGTCATAAATACAAGCCTGTGGAGAGAAGCAGCAGCAAGCTAACTGAATTGTTGAAATATGCACTAAAATAGTAAAAGTAAAATAACACAGATACAAAAAAAATGCATACAAAAAGAAATGACTGCTTACAGTTTGATAGTCTTCTGGGTTTATTTCAGAATGGCACTTTGCAAAAATCCCATTTGGGTCTGACAGCAAGCCGCACCAATGTTTAGCATATTTCTCTACAAAAATAAATCAACATCTTCATTGTTAAAATGTTGATAAAAACAACATTAAAATATGGAGGGTGATGTCTGTGACCTACCCTTGTCTATACTCAAAGTGCAGGGGTCGCCGAGTGCGTTTGTCACATCGCGGCAGCTTCCTCTGGCTTTCCAGGTGTTGACAAATGTCCCAGCCGTTCCCTCAATCAATCCATTAGTGGTTCTGAAGTCGTCAGCTTCCACATCATTAAAATCTCCACAAAGACCTGGATAATGATAATGTTACTCAACAGAATACAAATTGCAAAGGGTGGATAATCAACACCATAATTAAAAGAAGTAAAACACACCCCTGAGTTTTCCCTTATTGGAAACACTGGCTTTGATGTAGATCTGCATAATGGGTGAGAGCTGAATCTCGAGATGAAGCCCATAACTGGTGTGGATTACAATAAAGAATGTCGATGGCCTGAAGACTGTTACATCATCTGCAGGGGGGAAAAACATTTTCACATTTAAAAAAGAGAGAATTTGAATTTGAGCAAACTCAATTATAAGTTATGATTTCATCAGAGAATGAACACCAGAAAGAACCAAACACTTACCCATGAAAAAAGGCAGCTGTGTGATCAGTTTGTTATACAAAAACTGTCCGCTGGAATCAACTACAATCATCTGCAGAGGGGGAAAAATAGCAATATCTTAAAAATGTCAGGTTTAACCCCTTAAAGTCTGCAATAGAAAGACAGTAACCTTACCTTTCTGCTGCAAAAAGAATGAATGTCCTAGCTATTACGGTTTTATTTTGGATCAGCATATACAGGGGTATCTATTTAAACAGCATCATGCTAACAGCCTGCAGACATCTGTGGGATCAACTACATTTGTCCAAGACCCAGAACTTTTCTAAGCAGACACTGTGGAGGCTGGACTTTCAAAATAAATAAATAAAAAAATATTTAGGTCTAATTAGCCTATCATTGTTTAATATTTTCACTTTCTTACAAAATTAAAGTTTTCTTATATTAGCCTATATCAGTGTAGAGAGACACTGTAAAGAATTAAACCAAATATTAAGAGCTATGAGCTTGTACCAAGCAGCAACCTCAGGGGCAAAAAAATTAAGCCAATGCACAATTGCTAAAAACTGCAATTCCTCCAATGGCCAGTTGAGGCTGGCTCCAAAAGTGAGTCAATCTCCATTGATGCCCCCCCCCATGTTAAAATGCCCAATTGTACTGCAGAAACATGTTTACAGCCTGGTACAAAAAAAAGTTTTGGTCAATTTCCCCATTTATGACAACTGTACAGGGGTTCGCCATTTTATAATTATAATATATTTTATAAAGGCTTAAAGTTAAGCATAAGTGTGGGGTCACTTTGAGTGACTGAGTGACAGGCTGCTCGGGAGGCATTACCACAGTCAATAAGTCAAATCCATCCCTCACACCTCTACAGCTCCATCCTCTTGTCCAAATATGGCTATTTCTGGCTCAAAAATCCAAGATACCAGTGGCCAAAATGCTGAACTCACAGTGGCTACATCTATTGTTTTTATTATACAATCTATGGTTTGTTCTCCTACACGAAGATAAAGCACAAGCCACATTCCATTTATAAAAGACAGAAATTAGTTTCAGATTCACCTTAACGCAACGTATTTCCATTGCATTTGTTTTTGAGATTGCTTCTATATAGAAAGAAACAAACGCTAGATATCCTAAATACCGGAACACATTTTTTTTCCTCGTCACATTTTCTGAAGTCATTAATATTCTACAAGCTGCACGGGAAACTTTGGTAGGATGTATGTGGCCTGAAGGCCACAATTTGACTATCACGGTCAAAACCTTTACAACAGATACGAAAGGAGAAAAACTTACAAATACGTTTTCACTTTATGAGAGAACCATAATATACCATAATATTACCATGTGTTTAGGCAGTAGTAGGGTGACTGCAGCCAGGCACGTTGATTTATCTGAATTTTTACATTTGGCCAGGTCACCTAGGACACTGAACGTCCCATTGATTTCCTAAAAGTCAAAAAGATAAAAATGCACTCAATTACAAATTGTTGGCTTACTTACATGTATTGTAATTTTGTTTGTGAATTAAAGGATTCATTGATTTTAGTTTGAGAGCCTCACCTTGGTGAGAACATAGGAGCAATCTCCATGGAAAGTATACATTTTATCATCATAGGTGGAGATGTGGGCACCACCCAGCAGGGAGCAGATACCAGGACATTCTATATCCTCACAGCGCCACTGGCCCCGGGTACACATGCTGTCAACAGAGTACAGTCAGTTAAGCTGGTCAGATCACCTTACAGTAAATGCACATGATATGAACACTGCACTGAAGACATTAGTTACCATTTTTGACACGCCCTTGTGTACGATTCCCCTGGTTGGTAGGGCTGGCCATTGTGTAAACAGGTGCACTTGTCAATAGCAACACAGCCATTTTGTATAATGTCGTCAAAGACAGTCCCTTAGTAGAAACATAGTGACGTGATTAGTCTGGTCTTCAAACCACATTAATTTGTGCACATGAATTAACAAAACAAAAACTATATTGTTGTCATTTCACCATATGTTTAAGGGATGTCAAAGCTAACAGAGTATATCCACATATCGCTATCCAAAACCTCACAGATTTCATTGTCCATTGCCTGACAACTTTGCGCATTAATTTGCAGAATGTAAGCTACACAGCTGTTTATGTGCACCTAACTGATAGCAGCCAAAGCTATGTCCAGTGTTGCATTTAAACTGTACAAAGAAGAGTGTTGAGGCACAAGGACAAATGTGAGAAATGCCATAACTGACTATATTAACATGATGTAATTAATTCAGTATTTGGAGGCAACTAAATATCAAAACACAAGCCTTCTGTCAAAACTATAACTTCAGCTTTTGTTTGTTTAAACAAACTGGCGGCAATTCAACAGCAAGAAAACTAATTTTGCACACCAATGGCAAGAGTCAAGAACACAAGCAAAATAATTTGAGAGTCTGAATATGAGTATGAACAGAATAAACACTCTGACATCTGCCAGTCTCAAAAAGTCGTCTGTGCTGGTTTTACAATCAGGAAACTTACCAGATGGACAGAAACATCCATCCATGCAGTGATCGTCACACACTTGGCTTCTCTGGGGGTTGCTGCAGGTGTCAGTACAGGGACTACCACATTCTTTATACTCCATGTTGAAAGGGCATGTTGTTGCTATTCAACACAAAAAAAGACACAATTTAAAAACAGTGACTCTGATATGAATACAGCAAAATTATTGAAACTCAAACGTTCAGTTGCTGTTCTTACAACACAGTTGTGCGGTCTTCCATTGCTGTGGTTGTCCGCCTGCATGAGCACACTGACGGGAGTACTCTGACATGGTTGCACACAAGCATGAAGTGCTGTTGTTGGAGCGGCACAGGTCCTTCATACAGGCTTTGGTGAACGAGTCAATATCAATCAGGTTTTGACAGCTGAGAAATGCTGGTCCTGACAGCAAGTTTGTACAGAGGTCTGTCTGTGGGTCAAAGTATATGATATATTCAAATTGTACCTAACATTATACATGGGTTTACTTGAAGCAAATCCATTTTCACATACTTGATTTGCACAGCTCTGCGTGGCTGAAGAGGACATTGCTGCACACTCTTCATTGGGACCATCGTTTTGCGAGGCCTCCCCATAGTATTCAATAGTGAAAGACTCCCCAGTTCCTAGAGGAAAATGAGCCTTGAGGGAGTGTGAAGACTGATTCTGTGCAGAATATTTTAAAATGTATTACTTTTATTTACCTGTCCTGATGAACTCATCATAAACCTGGACTCCATTGTAGTCACCACACAGGCCACAGGTCTGATTTTTGAATTTTGCATCCAACTCAACCTAAAAACAGGTGAAAACATGGGTTAAAATAAATGCAGAAATTAAGATGAAATCTCTTAACTGTAGTTAATATTATGCATTTTTTCAAAGTTGCTTCCTTTTGATTTCATATGGATTAATCTTTATATCACCTGGGTCAAATCTCTAATCTCTCAACAGCAGTAACACGGTGTCGACAGGTATCAGACACTTAAATTTAATGCTCTTTAAGACCTTGTCAAGGTCATTTTTTAACAAAATTTAAGACTGATTTTTGGACAAATCATTGTTTTCTTGTTCAAGCATTGCAACCAAGTATAAACTAAATATAAAGATAGCTGTGTAGTCCCATGCAGAGGTAGATTTTATGTAGGACTATGGTTATTAGTATAACAGTAAGTGAGTTGGGTTGATCTTATTTTGCCAACAAGTAAGTGCAAGTATAAAGTTAAAAGACAGTATAAGGTCAAGTGGTAGGTTTGTAACATCAGAAATTTGGACTTTCACACATAAGAGCTCAACTCAACTTTTGATGAATATAAATTAAAAGATAGATAAATGAAATAAGATAAAATGTTTGTGCCAACTAAGACCTCACAATTTCAGTTTTAAGGCAATTTAATTACTTAAAAGGTCTGATATTCATTCAAAATTGAATTTAAGACATTAATTTAAGTAGTATTTTTAAAGACCTGCAGTCACCCTGAGTAAAATTGAATTAAATGTAAATAAGTGGATCAATGTTTAACTGCAAGTTAGTAAGTTCAAAAAAATCAATATCAGATATTATTTTGCCAAAGTGCATTGTATGAGAACAGCACATAATAAATAATACACATACCCAGAGGGCGTCATCTTCATTCCACATGACGACCACACCGAGCTTTGCGTCGATTTTAATGTAGGAGACGGTTCTTGCAATTGAAATGCCACCCTGGCTGAATGGTATAGTGACACTAGAGGGGGCAACCAAGTCATCACAGTAAGACAAGAACCTTCTTTACAACTAGCAAAAGCCAAAACATCAAAACACACTCACAGTTCATTATCGACTTTGATGGAAGTCTTGTCTAATTCCACAACAGCTCCCTCCAGTCTCATGGTGACCTTCTTAATGGTGGGGACCCCATCCATCTCCTGCCGTTGGAACTGGATGTTGAAACTTTCAAAGCTTGCCTTACACTGGGATGCAAGGATATAGTTGCAAGAGGAGGGAAGCTGGAAGAAATCTCCATCGAAAGTCTTAAAGTGGTAGTTTCCCCATGTACTGCAGATCTGGTCGTTGTGAGCAGGTCTCACTTCTATTTTGTGGAGGAAAAAAAGATAGATTAAATTGTAGCTCAAACTGTACATGGGCTTGTTTGTTATATTTCATCTTAAAAAAGAAAAATACCTTTAATTGTGTACACTTGGGTCATTGTCGGAATCATGACTGAAAAAAACAAAGACACACTATTAATAATGTCCGATAAAAGCAGACTACATAGGTTTGATTATATAAAATTTTCTTCCTTGGATGGGATTCTTTGTACTCGATAGACAGCGCAGCTTAATATTGTTGAATTTAATATATGCAGCTCTCTTTGTGTTTTGTTAAGTGTACATACCAGTGCTGGCTGCAGATAATCCAAAGTAGAGGGTGAGCCATGGTATAACCCATTCAAGTGGCATCTTGGCTGCTCTCATGATCCGTGAGTTGTCCCTGTCCTGACAGGGATGGCTGGGCAAACTGGTCCAGTTCCAACAATGTCATGTAATATAGTTCATTGGATGTTTGCAGTTAAGGAGGGGTAAAAGAGACTTTCTGGGTGTCAACCATTGTGGTTTTTGTCCCCATTAAGATCACACCCATGAAGAGGTGGCTTATGACAACATTTCATCTTCACATGAGGTCTGTGTCACAAAACATCCTATTTCTCACTCTCCACAGCTCCATTTTGATGTTGATCTTTATTAAAGACTAATACATCATCTACACACAGATTCAGCTGGTGATACGATGCACTGTATGCTTCATTTATGGTATTCTTTTGTGTACCTTTCTCACTGATCCATAGCATTTAAAGCTGTGGGTTGTACCTCCATATCTGTTAAGTACATTCATAATTCACTTGCTTAAATATTAACCAAATATTAGACAGAGACTTATAGACCTTTAAAATGCAAAATGACAGTCTAGCATGACCAGATTCTGATGTACTGCACATACTGTACATACATATCTGAGGTGTGCGAGAGCAATTACGGCTGGGCGATATGGAGAAAATCAAATATCACAATATTTTTGACCAAATACCTCAATATTGATATTACGATGATATAGAAGGATGTGCTACTAGTGCTTTCACAAAATATTCATTCATTCTTTGGATGAACTGTACAGCACTTTGGTCAACCGAGGTTGTTTTTAAATGTGCTATATAAATAAATTTTGACTTGACTTGACTTGACTTGATATTGATCTCATTTACAATGAGATTTAGGGATGTGAATTGAGAACGGTTCCATTTGAGAACTGGCTCCAAATTGTCTCATCCATCAGAATCATATGCCTTCGAACTTATCGATTCCTTTTATCTATGTCCGCGTGTTTTTATGACAGGCATCTTTCTACACAACATGGGCTTAAATTCCAGGAATGCCATGTATCTGACACTCTACGCACGAGTGCCATTTCTTCCTAACAGAGCAGCATATCTGTTACCATGGGTAAATATCCTGTTGTAACAACATTAGCACCATGCAGGTGGATCTTAGCAGATTGTTTTTGACAAAACTTAAATATACATGAATGCTGTACAAATATTCTCTCATTTCACCTACACTGTATTCAGAATCAGAGGAAATTAAAAGGTTGGCCTACTTTCTTTTAAAAAGGCATAAAAGTCGCGCAGATCCTCAAACTGTTTAAGGCATGTGCTGGACTGATAAAAGCATAAAAAACATGAAGAAAGGTCAGCATGCAGTAGCCCTCTTAGAGATTCAGTGTGTAGGATTCTGGGGTACCTATTGGCAGGTAAATGGATTAACTTGGAAAAGGAGAGCTACTCAGCAACATGAATTTTAAAAAATTTGCAACCAAAATTTGAGAGAAATATATCTACTGAGTGCATAAAAAGTCTTAGCTCTTGAACTTCAACCTGTGAAAAATAGGAGCAAAAACAAAAGTGTTAAATTTTTGTTTAGTGTACTTTTTCAGTCTAACAAAAGAAAACTGCTCTGTTGACTAACTGTGGTACAACTGTGAAACCATTAAAGGTGAAGGAACAACCTTGGGAAAACAATTACTAATCAATAACAAATATCATTACCATTATTTTGTTTACAAAAACAGCCTAACCCTAATCACTACCGGCTGGATAGACACAAACAAGACAATGGAGGAGTTGAGAGAGAACAGCATTTGGATCTTTTTATTCCACCATTACCTACAGCAGGCGATACACTGACTGTGGATAAGAACCTCATACAACCCATTTCAAAAAATCTGAACAATCATTTCGATAGTTTAAAGGGATAGTTAGAATGTTTTGAAGTGGGGACAATCACCTTAATATAAGGTGACAGACAACTAAAAAGGAAGAAGTATGACATCATTAGTGTGGCCTACCTACCTTTATCAGCTATTGCATTTATCTGCAGTCTTCTCACTTACACCATGAAGACACCTGGTCAGGTACAGGGGAAATCCTGCTGCCCACAACGATATCCATCTGTGTCATGTCATGTTACCCACCACTGCGATAACCTGGCTCCCTGACCTAGTGAAACAGAGAAACATACAGTGTGAAAACGTTTATGGTCAGATTTACATTTCTGCTGAAATGTTGTTAATGTAGTTTTGATGCCCAGCTGTCTGTATTGTATTACACCATGGCTTTGCACAGAATGTAAGATATAATATTGCAGATAGTATCACACTCTACATAAACTTCTCAAAAATGTTTTCTAAAAGCGTCTATATATATTGTTCTATATATTCTATCTACAACTGTCACGGTGGTGCTTAAGCGAATGAAAGCATTGGGTACACATATGACTCAGTTAGTACATAGTACAAGAGGGGAAAGCAAGGTAAAAGTCAATACTCTCATATGTACGTAGCTGTGGTAAAAACTGAACTGCGCTGCAAAAGACTTAGGCAAACTGTCAATCACATCTTTCAAACAAGGCTTACAAGGCAGACATCAAAACCTTCTGTGAGCCTCAACATCTTATTAATACAGCAGTAAGTTCCAAATGATCAGCTACACACCTGTCAGAGCCTGAGCCAGCATCTATAACTTCTTAAAATGTGTAATTTCCCAATATCAACTCTTCTATTATTTCAACATTATTTTGTAGTAGTCACTGAGCTTTGACTATATCTTCTCTTGTTCCTCATGGATGGAGCCAGTTGACCAACTGCCAGACAATCCAGGCTCAAACACTGTATACATACACAGCACAAGTAGGTTACACTCGTTCTTTCAGCGTGCAAAATATATTCCTGATATTATGGTGAATGTGCTACTAAAGGTAGTATCAGCATTGTTTCTACCTGGAGCTGGGTTTGGTTGAAAGTGGCAGTGCTGTTTGGGCTGAGAAAGCCATGCGTAAGTAAGGTAAAGGAGGTTATTGGGTTTTTGCGGGGAGCAGTGAGACCTGGCATTAGGGGAGTGTCTCTGGGACGCCAGAGATCACTGTCTAGCCTCCTGGAGGTGTCGTGGGACCAACTAGACGAAACGCTGGTGAAAGAAGGTTCCCACCCGATAACCCCAAAGACATGTTAGTTATCACTGCTCACTGGTCTGTATAGTTAAGCCTCGCTATAATAGCTTATCATAGGGCTTAGGAGGTTATTCACTGAGTGCTGATCCTTTCTCTAGACCACAAACTTCTTGTGTTTATTTGAATTTACTTTTTTAAAGAAGACATACAAATCAAATACGCAAAATAAATCAGTAAATCAGAGGGTGAAATGATTAATCACTTTTTTTTTAAGTCTACTCACTATGTAGTTTTTTTCCACTTTTTTCCTAACCAAAGCAACTGCATCACAATTCAAATGAATTTACTGTATATTATACTATATATAATATACTGTAATGCTGTGACATTTGGGGCTTATCCTGACAGTCTATCTTCAGCTCAGTACAAAAAACAAGTTAATATTGCAACAGCCATCCTTTTGCAACAATTATAAGATTATAATTGTTTCTGGTGCTTTTGCAGTCTTTTTTTATAAACTTTTAACCAGGAAGTAAAATAATGTGTGTCACTGCTCAGAGTTACTAATTCAGCCAGTAACTATGTAGATTAAGTATAGTCAGTTAAATGTTTACAAGCCATTCCTAACAACTCTAGTCGAAACCAGACCATTGGTTTGTTACAAATCTGAATTGAATCTGAAATGATAAAATATTCTTATTGGCATTTTATGCTAAAGAGTTTGGATTCGGCACATCATCCTAAACTGTGCCACCAGGCTTTCAGATGGATGTTGACCCAAAACATTTGGCTGTCTATTCAAATTCAAATATACTCAGTCAAATTCACCAATTTTAATATATGTAAAAAAAAAAAAGGACATTTCTTGCAAGCTTGTACTTTCAATTGTACAAATGATTATAACTTGTTCACTACAAGTAATATAAACTGCTTGAGGTGGCAGGATTAATATCACGTTGGTTTTGTCAGCAATACCCTCCCACAAAACATGCCAAAGTAGACACTGTTTTCGCGTGTTGTTACAGCACATACAAAGTTGTCTTTGCATACTGTCATGCACACAAAAAGCCTGGCTCTGACACATAGCAAACAGAAACGCTCGCCTTGACACACAACAAACAGAAGGGCTTGCTTTGACATGGTTCTTAACACAGCAAAATTTTGCTGAACCCTAATACTAATAATAATCTCAGGTGAACTGAGGGTGTTCATGGATATGCATATGTGTTTGTGCAGCCCTGCCTCCTACAAATACAGTTGATTTAAAACAGCAAATATGTTTTGAGGGAAACATAATGTCAAGCAAATTACTTTTTACACTCAATATCTACTGCACATCTGTCTGTCTTGTGAGAGAGATTCCTCCTCAGCTGTTCTTCCTGGGATTTCTACCATTTTCTTCTCTGTTAAAGGTTTTTTTTTTTTTTGGCGGGGGGTAGTTTTTCCTTATCTGCTGTGGCGGCATGGGTGTATCAGGAGAACTGGATACAGCGTTGGATGTGGGGCCCCTATTCATTCCTGCTCAGTGGTGCATGAAGCAAAAATGGTTCAACTGCCATATATAAAATTACTCAGATAATCCAGGGATTATCGGCACTACCTCTTCACTGTGTGGCCCACTAGAGACTTACAGGGGCTGAGTTCTGCCAAGAGTGCCCAAACAGCTAACTTCTGGTTTAGCGCTCTGCTAACTTGAATGGGTGTCATAACCAAGAAACGTTGTTAAGTTCATTTAATCAGTTTGTCTTGTGTCTATGTTGTCTTGTGATTTCCTGTTTTATTTTGAAAGTTAACTCTCCTCTCGTTTCAGGCAACTTGCTCCTTCCCCTGTGTGTTTTCCCGCTGGTCTGATTAGGTTCGGTCGAGATGAGCCAGTCCTGCGCAGATTCGATCACCGGCGATCGGCGCACAATGCATGCCGGTTAGTTTTGTGTCCGACTTCATCCTTGCTCTGACGTATTACAAAAGTGGACCGCGATAAAACCGCGAGAGTGAGGCGG